CGTTGGTACTGATGAGGGACGATTCGGAGAGTAGAGACCAGACTTTTTATCAATTTCGGTCCCCTTGTCGGTTGATGGACAACTGACAGGATAGTGAATTGCGGTAAGGAAAAGATGCTTTAGATACCATAAAATTCCGAAACTATTCAGTCCTCCCTTCGTGCACATCAGTGTGACTGTGCCCAATTGCCTGAAAGGTGCTATCCAACAAAAACACACTCCTCAACGGTCAAAATGGAGCAATCTTCAAATTGGCCTCATAAATTCTTCCCACTGAATTTTTTCCAATCACATTTTAGCACGAACATTAACATATAATTTTTTGATGACTTATTGTCCAGGGGTCGATGCGTTTTACAAATTGGATACAATTCTTCACCAAACCCTCCATTTTAAGTACATCGTTGACTGACAATTCCGTAACCTCTGACTTCACAGAAATACGGATTGAACTGTCTATGTCATCAGCGCACAAGAACTCTGCTTAAGAACTTGTATTTTTACCAGTAACATACAAAGTAATAATTTATGTGGTAAACCAAGTACACAAGTGTCTAAAGTTCATCAAAATTTATTTATTGATCGACCCTATTCCTAGACACAGGAAAATCCAGGCTTTTAGATCCTACCGAATGTTTCTAATTGCTTGAGGAATCGACGACATTATTCTGAATCTACCGGAAATAGTTGTGTGATTGACGCAGGTAGATGTAATCTTATAAGTTGACTTCCTATTCTGAATGTTGGGAGTACAATGGACTCTTCTTTTGACCTTTTGAAAGCGCTTTTGGTTTTTAAAATTCACTCAGTGTCTATTCGCACTGAGTGAATTTATCGCGGGTCTGAGAAAAAAACGTGATTTCCTAATCGATTGAGACCATATGTTTTTGTTTTTAAATCTCGGTGTACATGAATGTAGTCAATAAAATTTTAATGCTTACGTATGTAATAAATATAATTTAACTTGAAATTTTCTAAACTTAATCTGTAGCCTAATCGACCGTTAGCTGATCTAATTGTAACTGGATGCAGTCCAGACACAAGTTTCTCTTACTTGGGAAAAAAGTTCCATCGACCACAAGTCAATACCATCAAAGTCACGCTCTTGTCGCTTTTTAACTTCCAACTAATAATTATTGAGTAAAAATACCATTTGCCAACCGCTCACTTTCTCTCTACTACTTTCAACCCCCTCCCCCCCCCCCCCCCCCCACCCCCCACCCCCCACTTCGTGTTGTCCTCACCACACTTCTCCAATCGAGCTTTGTGTATAGGGATAAGTAAGATTGAAACGCCCAGCCCATTACCTCATCCTCTTTGAAACGAGCAGTAGTCGTCTTGGTCTTACTCCGATTTGCCAGAGGAAGGGTGGAAGGGGGGGGGGAGAATAGGGTGATTTAGTGGTTATGGGCGGTTCCGTTTGCGGGTTACTTGCTCGTACTTACCCATACTTGGGAGCTGTAATTATCTCAGTTTCAAATATAAGCCTACAAACTCTCCCTCTCTCCCTCATTCACTCATACCTCTTTCTTGCTCAATTTATTTCAGAGTTGCCTGTTCTTCCAAGGTCTTCTTACTCCTTTCAGCAGTTGTATTGGATTGCTCAAGAGCGTTGCTTCTCTTTGGATATTTCGCATTCACTGAATTTATATTAGCGGAGTATCCAGAATTGGGCGTATTCGTGGATGTATTCATTTCTGTGACATGTAAGATATCGATTGATTAACTTAATGCAATTTATAACACGCTTATATTTAAGTTCGTAGGAATTTGGATTAGGTAGTTTCATTTCCAAAATGTTTCTTAGCTAGTGAAGGAAAAAATTATAAGACCCGATTTTTAATGGGTTTGAGAAGAAACAAATTCAGATAATTATATTAGCCTGTGAGCCTCTAGCCCACTTCCACACATCGTGAACCTTCTCGTCATAGGCTGCAAAATGCACCCCTTTTAACTGAATTTCAATCTAATTTCCTAATTAAATACAGCAACTCTAGCCCTATCTAATAACATTTAATTTAATAATCCATTTTTCAGAGTAAAATGATGAAAATTGGAGCTGTGGTATTGACACTTAGGTGAAATTTTCGTATTCTAACTTTGAAGCTCAGTATTGTGCCTAAATCGGAATAGATTTTACCGAAGTAAGTGGGCTTTGTTGGAATTTCACGTCATTTTTCGACGTTGAGGTAAATACTCATAAGCTTATCTCCCATTTCATAAATATTGTCAAGTTTGAATTGAGCAAACAAGTAATGAAGAAGGCTGTTAAATATACATTTAGGTTATTTTATTTCTAGATATATACTATATTAGCATCATGAATCGATTATTCGTACTGCTGTTGGTCCATCTGGTAACAGTGAACTCACAAAATAATAGTATCGATGGTCATCGTTGCTGGCATGCACATGCCGACTCACTGACTAATCAAGAACTTCAATGCCCAGGTAAAATTTCATTCTACTGAATTTGCCAATTATTTATTTATAACAAATGGCAGGCGTTTTGATAGTTATCATTAGCCCTTTAGTTGACTTCGGGCTTCTCAGAGGGGAGGAGGAACATCAAAGTTTCAAAAAGTCCAGAGGGGGTGAGGGGGGGGACAGAATAGTAATTCACAGACGTAAAAGAGACAGGCAGACACAGAGGTGGTGAAAAGAGTAAGATGAATGCTTTAGAAGTGGAGGAATATGACATACAGTGGGGTGATGGTAGATTGAAATCAGAAGTCAACCGCCGGTTGATAGATTTTTTTGAAATATGATCATACGTCGCTCAGGGTGCACTACGTGGAGGTAAGTCTATTGCACATCCCAATTAGCCAATTATAATGGAAGCCATATAGTTGGCGATCAATTAGGTTGATTTTTAGTTAGATTCCCCTAGCTACAGTAAAAATTATTTCCGGTGGATAGGAACTGGGACAGACTCTTTACTTGAGAAATTCCCAGTCGGCTAAGACAATATTACAGTGCAAGCAATAGATACATCTCTCGAGTGGGCCAATTGTTAGTTTTATATATATATATATATATAATTAGATTATGAGTAAAATTTATTATGGCAAAGCATGAGCATCGCTTTTTAGTCGGATCAAAGCCAATCACTACCAAAAACCCAGTTAAAATAATGCTACTGCATGAAGAAAAGTGGGAATTCTGATTATTTGCATACCGATATTTAACTTAAAAGCCTCAAATTTTTATTTATTTCATTGTTTTTTTCCTTTCCATTTATTACCCAGGAATCACTGCAAGTTTGAGGCATTTTGAAAGCAGTACTATAATTTTTGCCGACTATATTGTCAACGTTTCGGCCACTTTGAAACTAACTGACGAGTTTTATAACTGGGCATTCACCAATAATTACTTTCCGTCAACAATATCGTAAGTAAATGCTTGAAGAGAGAGAGCTTTGTATAATAAGGACTTGACTCTAATATACTACTGAAATGTATGTTTCAGGGTTTTTAAGATTTATTTTGTGATTTATTTGCTATACCACTTAGTCATCAGTTGCCAAGGCAAATTTTGTTTCATTTAACGAAAGGCCTTTAATAATGTAGGGCTTTGATAACTGAAATAATTGCTAGATTAAATTCACTTCGAAAATCGATAAAACTAATGTTATCTAATAACAATCGATTAATTTATTAAAAAAGACCTGTGTGTATTCATTTCAGTAAACTAACAAGATCAGAAATCAATTTAATGGGAATCGATAACAATAATGCTCGAAACCACTGTCTTGAAGTGGTATACAATTAAGTAATTATATTATAATTTAACCTGTATGAACACCATTCCGTGGGATTTGGTAAATCAATAGTTCTCTTTGGCAACATGACTACTAATATCATTCATTTCAAATGGCAGGCGTTATCATTAGCCCTTAAGCTGACTTTGGGATTCACAGAAAAAGGGAACATCAAAGTAGCAGAAAGTCGGGGGGGGGGGGGGCAGAAGAGTGCTTCACAGATGTATAAGAGACAAACAGACGCAAAGGCAGAGGAAAGGTAAGATGAGTACTGTGGAAGTGGTGAAATATGACATACAGTGAGGTCATTGTAGTTTGAGTCAGAAGTCAACTGCCAGTTTATTGACTTTTTTGCCGTATGAGAATACGTTGCCCGGGGTGCACCACGAGGAGATAAGTCTATCGCACACACCATGACTACTAATATTGGATAATCTTGAATAATGGACCCGCCCACCTGCCCTTTAAATTCACGCAATTCTAGATATAAGAGGACTTATTGATGGATCGTTGTATATTGAAGTATTTGGTCAAGAAAATCACCACAATGGCCCTTATTGGTCCGTAACTAATTTACCAGTGGAAATGAATTTCTCACTTGCCTGGAAGATGCTGAAAACCAATAGGCACAGATTAGAATTCAAGCTCTGGGGATATTCAAAGTTTTCAAGATGGATACACTATTTATACAGCTACCGAGTGTTAACGGCTTCTTTAAGATCATTCGAACTCCTTAAACAATAGTGCCGCTTAGTTGACGATTGAAACCAAGCAAAGGTATATCAATAGAGATCTGTGATCGGGATTGGCAGTGACTGTTGACCAGGAAGATCACAGCTTACATCTGCCAGTTACTGCTGATTCAGAAGTTTTTGGCAGTCATTATCAGAATGCTAAACATACGACAAAAGAAACATTTTCAAATAGCGCGACGCCAGTTATGATCTCGAAATTAATATTAAACGCAGACATCAAATAGCATTTCGAGACTAAACTAAACTAAAAACTCAAAGGGGGTTCAATTGGGGGGGGGATTGTGAAGAGGTGTAATCTAGGTGATAGGGCAGAAGTACATACCAGTTAAGGTGATTCCGGCTCAAGTGAATTCAATCTAAAGAACTGCCGAAATGTAAGATAACATTACATTTTTTGAGACGTTTATTTCAAAACCCTGAGCTCTGGACAAACGCCCTGTGAGTTTTATTAAATTTGCTCTTTCTTACGTCCTATTTGCATCAAGTTCAGCGACTGCGGCGCAAGACTTTTGCGAGAACCAGGCATGTGTGCTGATACCGCCGACGCCAAGTTCATGCTGTGTCTGGCGTTTTTACGTCAATGCATGTCCGTTGAATGCTAATTACACTAACAAAGGGTCCTGTGGACCTTGGCTTCCTGCAGATGGCATTATCATTGGAAGTACTCCACCACAATACGGAATGGCAACCAGGGAAGTGTGGAATGTCTCCATAGAAGGTTCGAAATTGCCATTAAACCCTATAATCACCGACATTGAGGCAATTTGAGAGAAAATATATTATTACAAATAAATGATCCAAGTGGGGCAATAGTAAACAAAATAGTTATTATAGAACTACTTTTGACTTCAAAAACAAGAAGTTTTAATTAAAAAGCAAGTAAATAACTTGCCTATTCCTATGAAAAATAATAACTTGAATTTCTATTTAAGATGCTAACTGCTGTGTTTATTTTAGCCAATCGTAATAAAGCACACCATATTTATTTTCAGAAATTATTAACTTAATTTGACCAATGGTGGTATCAGAAATGCCATTTGATTATATATATATATATATATATATATATATATGCTTGCACTTTAATATTTATGTCAGAAGGCAGGTGTTTTGATAGTTATCATTAGCAGAAGAGTGTTTCAAAGAATAAAAATAGACAGACACAAAGGTAGAAAAAAGGTGAGTTGAGTACTGTGGAAGTAGCGGAATATGACAAACAATGGGGTGGTGGTAGTTAGAAGTCAGAAGTCAACTGCCAGTTAATAGACTTCTTTGCCGTATGAGTATACGTTGCCCAGGGTGCACCACGCGGAGGTAAGTCTATCGCACACCCCTTAAACTATATTATAGCTCCTACAAATGGAAGAGATCTTGGCCTTGAAATAAGAGACGTCCATATGAGTTCACTTGTGGTTGGCTCTCGTTTTTTTCGTAAGGCCACCGAATCCACGCACCTTTGAGAGGCTAATTTTCAGTTATAGTTAACCCTGTAAATGCGATCGAGTGAAAATTGCATTCATTTTAAAAAATCATAAACACCTCAAATCCACTGATAGGGGAATTCAACACACATACACACATACATACATACAAACTGGAAATAAACTGAAGGATGACACACAATGCTTTCTCCAATCACCTCCTCTGATAGAAGAAATAAACTTTTGTCCACGAAGTTGCAACAACTCATATAAATTTCCTTTGTTCTTCTAACCTGATCAAGAAAAAACAAAGCCTTTAATGTGGATTTGGTCGTAAGAAGTACGCAATAATGTGGATTGAATGCGTACAAGTTCAAAAGTCAAATAGTTATTTGAAATTAAAAAAATTATTCCTTGAGAAGTGGCCTTAATGTTATAATAAATATTTCACTCTTCTAATGGTTCCATTTTTCCTCCAATTATTAGGACTGAAAATTCACGGGGAGATGACACTTCTGGCAACTTTCTTCATTGGCTTCATGAAGATTTCAACCACAGCATCGATTAGGTCTATCGCACGAGCAGGTTTGCCCTTTCTTAAACCGCATTTTTAGAACTAAAACGCCTGGACTTTCAAGGCTCCTCATCTTCTAAGAGTCAATTCCAATCTTTGTCCTTATTACTATTCTGAGTGTGTGTGTGTGTGTGATACAAATGAGATTCCATTGCGCTCGAATCGTCCTTCAGGGTAACTGTCGGATATGAGTAGTGTTTTCAAGACATCAAGAATGCTCATGTAGTTAAAATTAGCCAATTATGAGTATTAGGAATCCCGCATTTCATATCATTGGCCATTTTGCTCCGCATTTCGATAATGGATTGAATCAGATATCAGACATTTGGCTAACCGAGCGTCTGTCAGAGTTAGTGTCTACTTAGTTCTACTTAGTTCTACAAATGTTTAACAGAAAGCAAGAATTGTATATTTTTGGTAACTAAGATGGGCCAGGTTTGATTTTAAGGCAAAGGATGACGATAGGGGTTTGGGGGGGGGGGGGGTAGAGAATGAGAATTCTGGCAAGGAGAGGGCAAGATACAGCAAGCGACTTTGTGAGATGTCTGATAGGTTGAGCCGATTGTCAGGTTATCAAACATAAAGAGTTCACCAACGAGTTGAACTATTCACATTAGACATCAGTATCCAAAATCAGGGTTTCTCAACGTTAGAAGTCAAATGTGTATGACTATATCTGGAACGATTACTCGTACGTTTATATGTTACCTTCCCTATATGTCCCTATTGACACCCCTGAATATTGGTTTGGTATTTATAAGCGCTAAAATGATATTTTATATCAAATGGCAGGCATTATGATAGCTATTAATAGCCCTTTAGTTGACTTCGGGTTTCACAGAGGGGAGAGGAACACCAAAGTCACAAAGTCGATAATGGGGGGGAGGGAAAGAAATAGTGATTCGCAGATGTAAAAGAGACACACACAAAAGTAGAGAAAAAGGTGAGGTGAGGTGAGTACTGTGAAAGTGATGGAATATGACTTACAGTGGGGTCATTGTAATTTGAAGTCAGAAGTCAACTGTCGATTTATAGACCTTTTTGCCGTATGAGTACACGTTGCTCAGGGTGCCCCATGTGGAGGTGAGTCTATCGCGTATCCCGCTGTTAAATGATAATATCCAATAGAAATGAAACGATAAACCTTGATGAAGCCTAGACACTTTTAATAAGCCTTAAACCAATTAAAATCCTTTTAGATAAGGAAAGTCAATAATTGAAATTCATAAAGACAAATAAAAATATATGCCCAACAGAGGTAAGGTTGTGAATGCATCCTCCTCAAGGTGAACATTTTTCGGCATGCTAATCCACTGGAGTACCAGCAAGGTTTAGCGTCTACATCTACTTCCTCGACATCGAGGAGCTTGGTGGTTAACATCTTAGTCACTCTAATAATTGGATGGAATGCCAGTGACAGTAGGCAACTTTACTATTGTCTGTGGCAGGGCTTTTCACTTTCCTTTTTTCTCTTATTCAAGTTTGTGGTGACAGATACTGCGATGTATCGCAAAATGAAACTTGCTTAACTTGTGACGTTGACTGCGGCACTTGTAGTCTTGAAGCTCGAGTTGGAGGCGCAATAATCGCAGTGGTATTTCTCGTTGTCCTAGGAGCAGCCGCCACTGGATTGGTAAGCATTTACATCGTTGGCTCTGAGGTGAACATGTGGATAGATATTTAATTAATGTAATCAATAAGATTACGCGCAGTGCAGACACGGAGCATGTATACATCAGTGCTCCAGTAATATGCATGCTTTTCCGCGTTGATGACCATCTAGTAGACAGACGTCACAGCTAGAACCATGCAGTAGAGAACACATTCACCAGTTTAAGTTGCACTATCTTTTTCCAGTTCTTTTTCCGGCGAAGTCGTCTTGCTCTATGGGATAACTCGTGGATCATTTCTCGTGACAAAGTGTTGATATGTAAGTGATGACGCCGCATTCGCCAAGAAGCAATTTTACTTCATCTCACTCCCATGTTTCTCATTGTGCTAGTTGAAAATGACGGAAACAAGACGTCTCAAACTATAATTGAGGATTGTGCAGATGGATTTGATGACATTGAAGCGGAGAAGACATTTGTCTACGGTAAAATGTAATCTATATGGATTTCATTTCTATTTGAACTAATGTCACCCCCACCCATTTAATTGCCTTCTTAACCTTCAGCGATGATACTCTAGTATCTGTAAAGTACATGGAAAGAGAACAATTCCTGCTCACAAAGAACATTCGTAAGGAAATCAAGGACATTCGGTGAGTTAGGTCATTGTTATCGACAACATCAACATTTTGACAATCTTCATTTGTCTTATCTTATTACTTTTAGGCAACTAAATCACCGAAATCTTTGCCAACTAGTAGGAATTTGTCTCGATCCACCTGAACTGGCCATCTTCATGGAATATTGTCCAAAAAGGAGCCTCAAAGATGTATTCCGCAATGAGGTTATGCCTTTGAGCTGGGCATTCAAGTGAGTACTTGATTTCTTTGAAATTGAATGGAGTTCAGCTCTTTCCATCTGTTAAGTGTCACTATAATCAGAATATATCAATCATGATTACCTAACATCCATGTAAAGGTCCTGTATCACGCCCCCACACCCTACTAATACTGTTCATTATAGATGCCAAACTTAGTGTTAGAATCGTTTTTTTCCTCTAGATTGTCTCTAATTCAAGACATAGTCTCTGGCATGGAATACATGCACTCCCATGGCTTCATTCATGGACGTTTAAATACCCATAACTGTGTGGTCGACGATCGTCTAACGTGCAAAATTACTGGTAAGATCGACTTTATTTTAAGGGTTTGCTACAAAGTAGTTAATTCACTTAATTTAATTACTGTTTTGATTTGAAGACTTTGGATTAGAATCGATTCGGTATGAGAGGCCGCAAGAAAAGCTGGAGACATTTTTGGAAAACCCGCAGAATTGGGCATTCGTTGCTCCTGAATATCGAGGTAAATTGACTCTTGAATTATGAGTGGCCTTGATGTTTAGGGGATAATCCTGCTGCACCGAATCTTCATATGGACTCTTACAGCTATGGAACAATTATGTGCGAAGTCGCGCAGCTTCGAGAAGTACGTACTTTCGTTTATCACGTAATTAAATTTCAACACATTGGTGGACAGGTGTAGATACTAAGGTCACACAAAATTCCTTTAATTCCAACAAGCTCATTAAAACAATTCGCTATAGTAGGAAGTTAAGGCTCAGAATTAGTTGACGATCGTGGCGTCTCACATCTCGTCAAGATGTCTACCCCTCTTTCATTTTGATCTGCCATGTAATAATTGAGCTAGACTTATTGTGATCAGTAGATTCAACATCTACCTAGGTCAAGCAGAGTTTATCTTTTAGCTGAGAAAGCAGTCTGTCCCTGTTCGTGTTTCCGGTATAGGTGAGTTCTTTGAGCAAATTCGATGGAGGGCCACACCAGTAACCTGAGTTTTCAGCTGATGTCCAAATACGGGGTGTTCCAAAAAACATATATACACACTTGACATAATTTTAAACATAGTGTTTATTGTTATTTCATTATTTCAATTACCTGAACTTTCTGCAGCAGTCTGTTGTGTCAAGAATTAGAGAAGACTTTGAAGATGATGAGTTTTATTTTCGCCAAGATGGGACACCCCCACATTACCATCACGATGTTGGGTCTTCCCTTGCTGAGGTCTTGCCAAAAGGCTTTGTTGAATACCCTCCCCCTCCCCCCGTTCACCAGACCTCACACCACTCAATTTTTTCTCATGAGGGAACTTAAAAGACAAAGTCTACACTATGAAACCTGCAATAGTCACTGAATTAAGCGAAACCATTGAGTGTGGATGGCTCCACATCCCAAGGGAATTATTTCATGATTTCAAGCGATTCCATTGCTTGACATTTGGAAGCAGTGTCTGGTTCAAAATGGGCGTCAGTTTGAGAAAAAGCAGTGAAAGACGATAAAATTAAACTTGTAAAATATTTTTTATGCTTTATGAAATAATTAAATTCTAATTGAACGCTACGTTCACAATTAGTTCCAATGTGTATATATTTCTTGGGCACCCAATCGTATTTAGACCACACACCAAGAAAGGGGATAGGGCTTTATGTATGGAACATTTATGTCAAGTGTCTTGAATTATTTTCAGTCTTATTTGTATGAAAAATCAATTTTTTTATAACGTAGTCTTGTTTGTGCTAGAGATGAACAAAGGAAAGTAGTTGTTAGTCAAAATGGAGGAACATTAGAAAAAATTAAATTATCGACAAAAAACAAGTGGTTTAACGCTCTCGTTAGCACATTATTCCAGAGACATTGAATGCCAATTGAAGACTTCGCATTGAGATGAATCTGACGATATATTATTAATTATATTAATTATTAATTCCTAGGAACCAGAAGACTTCAATGACCCAGAGTTGACGGAGATGGAGCGGCAGGAGCTTAAAATGCTGTGGTGGAAGTATCCCTTACCCACAATGGAAGCTTTCGAAAGTAACACCGACGACACCTCTCCTAACATGACTGAATACCTTAATGTAAGTCACTTCGTTTATTCAAGCTTGGCTGTGGCCCCCTCCACACGGTACACTTGCATCAGCAGGATTAGGATCCAAGGCGTCGTATTCTTAATAGTGGTTAAATCTATTTTAAATGGGTTCTGTTACTTGAATCATACTTCGTTGGTACTTTTGAAACCTGTAGGCCTTGACCTTTACTACTAAACTAGTGTCACGTCCACGTTAGTTCCACTTTGAAGAAAGAGAAAAAAATGATCTTTTGGAGACGGATTAAATAGTTGTAGAAGATCTGCTCACCGATATCTGTTTCCACACATTCAGTAGTTAATTTAAACATAAACTCAATCCCCCAATCCCAGTTCATAATTTAACTTTACTTAAGCAAATAAACGTTGTCTCTGCATGTATGCAATTATCACAATTGATTGGCCATTGATTATTGATTTAACTCTTCAGATTCTATCCCGTTTCTATTCAGTATAGTTGACATGTCCTATTTTACATTGCCCTTAGCTAATTCAACTATGCTGGAGCCCTGTGGATACGCGACCTGGTTTTGACGGTATTCGAGGGAAGATGGATCTCATTAACCCAAGGCGAAAGAACCCAATCGATATAATTCTCAATCTCGTAATTTTTCCACTTTGTTTTTCTTGCCTACTTCATTTAAACCAATAAGCAGAGATTATTGATTTTCTCTTTGATAATTGTAAACTTTTAGATGGAGAAGTACTCAGCTCACCTTGAGAGTATTGTGAGCGAAAGGACTCAAGATCTCATTGTAGAAAAACAGCGAACTGATGAACTTCTTCATAGTAGGTCAACCTTGTAGTTTTTGATTTCAAGGTTTCCTATCAGAGAGAAAGGGAGAGAGAGAGAGTCCTTCTTCTAAGATCCAAAATTATAGCATTTTTTTTGTACTTCAAGGCATGCTCCCGAAAACAATTGCAAATCAGCTGAGAAGTGGTCAAACAGTGCCTGCCGAGGCCTACTCCTCCTGCACCATCTACTTCAGCGATATTGTCGGATTTACAAATATTTCCTCAGATTCAACACCCTTTCAGGTAGTCACTGCTAGATGTAATGCACTGATAAATTTCATTCATTAGTTTAAATGGCCCTTGCCGTTAATTGAGTAAGCTAGCATCTAAAACCAATGGATGAGCGTTTTGAAGTGTAAAGGTAAAAAGGCACTTTTCCCAGATCGTCCAAACGTGGACGTTTATGAGAAGCCTTATTGTTATTGAAATGTTTGTTTTTCGGTAATGATGCGTGAAATGCTCTTGTTTTCTTGAAAGGTTGTGACACTCCTCAACAAACTCTACAGTGAATTTGACCAAATCATCGATCGATATGATGTCTACAAAGTTGAAACCATCGGCGATGCCTGTAAGTGGAGTTTTATTGTTATAGCTAACACCTGAGGGACAGAGGAGAATCATAATTTTAGCGATAAGTGCTCACGTGACGCAAACACAAAGAGTATGTGTACTTTGTTGGGACTGGGGTGGAGGTGG